TTTTTTAGAAAAAGAAATCCCACCTTTATTTACTTTTATTTTAAAATTCCAACTTTAATTACTTTTATCTTATTTAAAATCCCACTTTTTATTTTTTTAAATGAGAATCTCACTTTATTTAACTTTTCTTTAAAAGAACAAACTACTATCTTTTCTTTTTCTTTTAAAAATGCTACTTTCAATTACTTTAAATTTTTTAAATTTTCAGATACCTTTATATTTATTTTCTAATCCAACCTTCTTTTACTTTTTAATTTTTTTAAAATTTCCACAAAACTTTTTATTTTTTTAAGTTTTCTACATTCTTTTACTTTTTTTAAAAGAGAATTCCACCTATTTTTACTTTTATATTTTTTTTATTCAATACTTCCCTTTTTCTTATTTTTCAAATCATTCCCAAAATTATTATTTTTTAAAAAAAAATAATAAATATTTTCGGATTTTTTTATATAAAAAAACAAAAAATAATAAAAACATATTAGTAGTGATAATTCACCTTTTAATTTTTTTTGGTATTTTTATACTATAATAAAAAGTGTAATAAAGCTAAAATAATAGTAGGTTAAAACCCCCTAAAATATTTACATAAAAGAAGTTATAAAAAATTAAATGTTGTCAAAAATTAGGTGTTCACAGCAGGAATAGCATAGAATCGGGCATGACTGCCACCTGATCGGCCTCCCCCTCTAGGGCGACCTCTAACTGCCTAGGGCCCAACCCGAGCTGGCTGAGTGGGTGGTGTAACTGCTGGTGCTGGTATCATCGGCCGAAAACTCTGTTGTGGAACTCCAACCAACAATCTAGGGCAATCTCTCTTGATATGACCCAAGTCCCCGCACTCGAAACAACCCCTCCTCTGACGGAGTTGTTGCTCCTCAAAATCCAAGGAACTGCCTGTAGAAACCTGAGCAGACGAGGCATGGTGAGAACTCTACGCTGGTAGTGCACTGAATGAAGACTAGCGTAAGCGAGCACTGTAAGAATCGTGGCTAACTGATGCACCATGATGAGCTGGACGAGTCGTTTGAGCGGGCCTATAAGGATGACCCCTACTATGGTAGGACTGTCCCCAGAAGGAACACCACTGAAACCACCCCAACTACAAGTCCTCTTAGCCTGCCTGTCCTCACATTCCTGACTATGGACAATCACTATCTACCGAGCAATATCAACCACCTTGTCAAACGTAGCACCAGATACCCTCTCCCGAGTCATAAGCAACAACAACCGATAGGTGAGGCCATCAATGAATCTCCTAATCCTCTCCCTCTCAGTGGGAACCAACCAACTGCGTGACGAGCCAACTCTGAGAACCTCCCCTCAAACTAGGTGATAGACATGCCATCCTGACGTAGCTACTCAAATGCACAGCTCCTCCATGCGAGACTATGGCACGAACTTCTCCAAGAGCACGAACTTCTCCAAGAAGAGAATGGAGAACACATTCCATATAAGTGGTGCTGCACCGGCCGACATGTGCCTCTTATAAGCCTCCCACCATTTGAAGGCATCCCCAGTAAACTGAAAAGTAGTGAATGAGACATTACTAGTCTCAAGAATACTTGTCGTGCGAAGAATCTGCTGGCCCCTATCCAAAAAGTCTTGGGCATCCTCAAACTCAGCCCCACTGAATGATGGAGGCTGGAGTCTCTCAAATCTCTCTAGTCTCCTCTGCTCATCATCAGTCATAACGGGACCCACCTAGGCCTGAGAATTACAATCGGTTGCGCTGGTAGTACCCCTAATATATGAAGTCCCTGAATCACTTGCTCTGGAGTATGGGCGGCGGGAGTCTGAGTACCTCCCCTGACCTAAGAAGTGGCTGTTGCGGCCAGAACAGAAACCGCTTGAGCAAGGGCACAGTCAAAATCTGAGCCAAAGCCTCCTGAAGGCCTAGATTCACAATGGGCACAGCTGGTGCCTGAGCTAGCCCCACTGGCTCAACCATATCTGGTACCTGCTCCTGAGCTAGAGCAACATGCAGGTCTGCAGGTGCTGCTGCTCTAGCTATTGTACGAGTTGTACCTTTACCCCTATCGCAGCCCATACCACGACCCCAACCTCTCGTGGCCCTAGCCGGTGGTACTGGTGGTCGTCTGTCCTGACCGGTAGCACATGTCCTCACCATTTGTGAGAGAATAGAATAACAGAAGTTTAGTTACCGGAATCAACAAATCTGTACGATGAGAATACAAGAACGTGAAGTTTTCCTATGGGTTCAGCAGCCTCTCAAAGATAAGTACATAAGTCTCTATACTAATTTGCAAGACTCTACTAAACCTACTCATAACTCATGAGAACTATGTAACCTAAGCTCTGATACTAACGTGTCACGATCCAAAACTCGACATGTCGTAATGGCGCCTATCATGGTACTAGGCAAGCCGACATCTCACATACTCCAACAATTTCAAAAACCCAAATATACTGAAATAGATTTAAATAATTAAGAATCTCATAAAAACTAGATATAAACATCGAAACTTAGTACAAAATTCTCCCAAAAGATCTAGGTGTCACGGAATACCTGAGCATCTACATATCAACATAGTCTGACCAATGGAACATTACGTAGGAATGTAGAACAGTATAAATAAGACTAAAAGATAAAAGAGGAGAGTCAAGGTCTGCGGATGCCATGGCAGCTACCTCGACGATATCCGAACTGATGAAATGTCAGGAATCAACAACCGACATGCCCGAAAATGCCTGGATCTGCACACGAGGTGCAGGGTGTAGTGTGAGTACAATCAACGCAATAAGTATCGCAAATAAATAATTCAAGGTAAGAGAAGCTTAATTTGTTGAGGTCACTAGTTAAATCAGTGCAATTATGTCCTTTTTGATTAACCTAGTATAAAATTTAAAGCTAGCTCATAAGGCTTCGTGAAACGAATATCCGTGTGTGCACTGGTTCTCAAATACCCTTCTCAACAATATCATAGAATGTAGAGGAAAGAAACACGGACAACTCACGTGCCAATAACATAATCCGCCCGGAAGAGCCACATGCCCTAGTCCAAAATATCATACATGCGAAATAAAACAAGTATACAGGTATATAATGGATGAAATACAATTCTCCTATCCCTGGACTAGTGTAAATAATATGTTAAAGTGTAGGTATATGCAAATTGTGGTATCATAGCTCAATCCGGCAATTTCATCAATGAAAAGCATTTATCAAGTTCGTTCAGGGATCAAACCTCTAAGTAGACTCATCACGGATCAATTAGATCACATAAATTGTTACATGTTAGATATCGAAGCTCGAAGCTTAACAGTCATTTCTGGGCTTATAGGAGCTCGAGCACAACCCAAACTGATGCACCATGATGAGCTGGACAAGTCATCTGAGCGAGCCTATAAGGATGACCCCTGTTGTGGTAGGACTGTCCCCAGAAGGAACACCACTACCACCCCAACTACTAGGCCTCTTAGCCTCTCTCTCCTCATGTTCCTGACTATGGACCATCTCTATCTACCGAGCAATATTAACCACCTCGCCGAACGTAGCACCGGATACCCTCTCCCGAGTCATAAGCAACTGCAACTGATAGGTGAGGCCATCAATCAATCTCCTAATCCTCTCCCTCTCAGTGGGAACCAAGCAACTGCATGACGAGCCAACTCTGAGAACCTCCCCGCATACTAGGTCACAAACATGCCATCCTGACGTAGCTACTCAAATGCGCAGCTCCTCCCTGCGAGACTATGGCACGAACTTCTCCAAGAAGAGAATGGAGAACTCATTCCATGTAAGTAGTGTTGCACCGACCGACATGTGCCTTTTATAAGCCTCCCACCATCTGAAGGCAACCCTAGTAAACTGAAAAGTAGTGAATGAGAGATTACTGGTCTCAAGAATACTTGTCGTGCAAAATATCCGTTGGCACCTATCCAAAAAGTCTTGAGAATCCTCAGACTCAGCCCCCACTGAATGATGGAGGCTGGAGTCTCCCAAATCTCTCTAGTCTCCTCTGCTCATTATCAGTCATAATGGGACCCACCTAGGCCTGAGAAACTGTAATCGGTTGGGCTGGTAGTACCCCCGATATCTGAAATCCCTACATCACCTGCTCTGGAGTATGGGAGGTGGAAGTCTGAGTACCTCCCCCGACCTAAGAAGTGGCTGCTGTGCCGGAACAGAAACTACCCAAGCAAGGGCACAGTCAAAATCTGAGCCAAAGCCTCCTGAAGGGCTGGAATCACAATGGGCACAGCTGGTGCCTGAGCTAGCCCCACTGGCTCAACCATATCTGGTACCTACTTTTGAGCTAGAGCAACTGGTGGGTCTGCAGGTGTTGCTCTAGCTGTTGTACGAGCTGCACCTCTGCCCCTACTGCAGCCCATACCACGACCCCAACCTCTCGTGGCCCTAGCCAGTGGTACTGGTGGCCGTCCGTCCTGACCGGTAGCACTTGTGCTCACCATTTGTGAGAGAATAAAATAACATAAGTTTAGTTACCAGAATCAACAAATCTGCACAACGAGAATATAAGAATGTGAAGTTTTCCTTAGGGTTTGGCAGCCTCTCAAAGATAAGTACAGACGTCTCTGTACTGATCTGCAACACTTTACTAAACCTGCTCATGACTCATGAAACATATGTAACCTAAGCTCTGATACTAACGTGTCACGACCCAAAACTCGACATGTCGTAACGGTGCCTATCATGGTACTAGGCAAGCCGACATCTCACACATTCCAACAATTTTAAAACCCAAATATACTGAAATAGATTTTAATAATTAAGAATCTCGTAAAAATTGGATATAAACATCGAAACTTCGTATAAAATTCTCCCAAAAGATCTAGGTGTCACGGAGTACATAAGCATCTACATATCAACATAGTTTGACCAATGGAGCACTGCCTAGGAATGTAGAACAGTATAAATAAGACTAAAAGATAAAAGAGGAGAGTCAAGGTCTGCGGATTCCAAGGCAGCTACCTCGATGATCTCCGAACTGATGAATTGTCAGGAATCAGCAACCGACATGCCCGAAAATGCATGGATCTGCACACGAGGCTTAGGGTGTAGTGTGAGTACAACCAACGCAATAAGTATCGCAAATAAACAAGGCAAGGTAAAAGAAGCTTAATTTGTTGAGGTCACTAGTTAAATCAGTGCAATTATGTCCTTTTTGATTAACCTAGTATAAAATTTAAAGCTAGCTCATAAGGCTTTGTGAAACGAATATTTGTGTGTGCATGTGCACTGGTTCTCAAATACTCTTCCGAACAGTATCATAGAATGTAGAGGAAAGAAACACGAACAACTCACGTGCCAATAACATAATCCGCCCAGCATAGCCACATGCCCTAGTCCAAAATATCATACAGGAGCAATAAAGCAAGTATACAGGTATATAATGGATGAAATACGATTCTCCTATCCCTGGACTAGTGTAAATAATATGTTAAAGTGTAGGCATGTGCAAAGTGTGGTATCATAGCTCAATCCGGCAATTTCATCAATGAAAAGCATTTATCAAGTTCGTTCAGGGATTAAACCTCTAAGTAGACTCATCATGGCTCAATTAGATCACATAAATTGTTACCACATGTTAGATATCGAAGCTCGAAAGCT